ATTTATTTATAAATTGATCTATATATAAATATATTCTTGAAATTGAGCGAAACATGTTTATGAATTAAATCTAATTTTTTTGGACCCTCATAATTTTTAATCGATTTTTCTCACTCTGGATGTAATTCTTCACTTATTATGAAATGAAGTGATATAGAAGAATGACGTCCACACCAAATAATATTTTGAGACAATAACATATAGTGATGTATTATTGATAGCGTGTTTCAGCCAAAGTTTTCAATTGTTTGGAAAATTGATTGTCAAAGTTTTTTAGAATAGTATTAATTAAATAAATTTTTTTAGTTTTTTATTAGTGAATATGTATCATTTGCTTATTTCGATCATGATTTCGTCAATTTATATTTTTTAACTTATGCGTTGATTTTCTATTTGGAAAGAAAATATAAAAAGATAGAGTGGGACATCTTAGGATGAAACATCTAGACTTCTTTTATTTCATTGAGTGTCGTACACTCTTTGTCATGAGTTTAGCCTCTTATGGCATGAGTTCGTTCGAAATTTTTTAAATTTCAGCACATCCTAATGTTTTTTTTTCTGGCTCCGCCCCTACTTGAGAACATCTTACATCCTTGTCTATTATGCATCTGGTTGTGATCCGATGTCACGATGTGATTTGGGTTCTTGCATCTGAGCTTCTATGTAAGTATGACTGTTCAATTGATCTGTTCTTTGCTTCAATAATTCTTGCATCATGTTCAACCAAATCCTTGTTGGGATTTGGTCTGTATCTACTCCAACTTGAATATGGTGTGACGTGCTACATTATCCCCTTGATCACATTTCCTATCTTCTGCCTTTATTTCTGGCCACTATATAGTTTTTTGAACCTTGAATATGTTTGAATTATTTATTGGTTTTGGTTTTGGATAGGCATATGTTCAACAGCCTGAGAATAGTGGGTAAAGCTATCACAACTAGAGCAGGAGAGGAGCTTAAAAGAGCACGACTTCAGGTGCTGTCCCTATAAAGTGCACTTAAATTCAATATTTTGAATTATTTTCGAGCCATTACTTTACTCTTTTACTGGATGCAGGGAGTCTTAATTGCATCTGGATTGTCAGAAGATCAGAGTCATTCCGTGACTGGAAATGGTTAGTTAAACTTATCCATTAATGGCGTACATTTTACCGGTACAAAACAAGAATCGTCTCTGATTACTTAAGATTTTTGTGATGGCATTGCAGGGGCTTTAGCATTTGACATAGACTATGCATGCTGGCTTGATGAACATCAGCGACTGATCATGATCTGAGATCCGCTGTGAACGCTTACCTGGGTGAAAGTGGGCTTCGTATTCTTCTCGATGGGTTGATGTCTCATTATGATGAAATATTCAGGCTAAAGAGCATAGGTTCTAAGTCAAATATATTTCACTTGCTATCCGGCATGTGGAAGACTCCTGTAGAAAGGCGTTTGGGTGGTTAGGAGGATTTCGTTCATCGGAGCTTCTCAAGGTCATTCAATTATTTTCGACAACTTTCTTTCATAAAATATAGGAACATTATCATTTCATCATATTCCTGAACAATCATGTCTTTCTGAATTTCAGACACTCGGCAACCAAATTGAACCTCTGACCGAACAACAATTGATGGGACTATCTAATTTACAGCCATCCTCTCAACAAGCCGAGGATGCCTTATCCCAAGGCGTGGAAGCATAGGCTGCATTGCAACAGTAATTTGTAGAGGCGCTATCCTCTAATACTCTTGGTCCTAGTGGTTCTGGAAATGTGGCGAACTACATGGGGCAAATGGCTATTGCCATGGGCAAGCTTGCCACACTCGAGAATTTTCTTCATCGGGTATTTACCCTGTACTTGAGCACTTGTTAGACCAGACGAAGTCTAATCACAATCGACACTTGTCCCTTGACCTTGGATCGAATATTGAGTATTCTATAGATATGGGAGGTTGCCTAATATTCCGAATGAGCCCAGTTTTTGGGGACTCACAATGGCATGAGATCCCTTTTACTTTTCCTCTCCACTATAGTGGGGTGAAAACCTGCAGTAGTAAAGTTAACATACCTCTCAAATGAATAAGGTATAACCTGTGCTTTTGCTCTTGATAGGCTGACCTTCTGAGACAGCAGACTTTGCAACAAATGCATCGGATCTTGACAACCCGACAAGCTGCCCGTGCTCTTCTTTCCATTAATGATTACAAGTCGAGGCTTCAGGCTCTCAGTTCTTTATGGTTGGCCGGTCCTAAGGATTGACTTTAGTTCTTTTACATGATTGTGTTAATCTTTCAGAACCTTTGCAAGCTGACCATTCCACATAATATTAGGTTGCATTTCAATAGTTATTTGCTGGTCGGTTAATGTTAGTGTGCTATTTGCTTAGTTAAGTATTAACTGACACTGGATTTGTGAAACTTACAACTGTATCCAAGATCTGATATGTTTACTATTGATGGATTTCGTATGAATCACTAACAGTGGCTGTTTTGTATCAAGGCATATGGTTTTTTTCTTGCTAGATAGAATTGAAATCATGTTTCAGTTATTAAAAACATTTGTATATTAAATTTACCTATTCAGAGATAATGCTTGAGTGAGATTGACAACAGCCATACCATTCCTCACGGAGTTGCAAGTGCTTTAATCTACGTCCTGAGATCATCTAAACAGACTGCAACTAATACCAAGAAATTGCATATCTACTATTAATTTGAACCACAATCAGTGTATACCCATCATCTGGTCCAACAAGGAATTGTGTGACCAAATCAAAGTGCGGTACGAATTTACCGGAAATTTCCAGATTATCTCCTAGTTGTTTTTTAGTATTTCAGGTGTTGATCTGTTGTCATGGAGCCCTTTTGGTCCTCTGAAGTTCACCCATCAAGAATGTCACTCTAAAGTTGTTGAGATCTCCATAGCTTTGTTTCAGAGCATTCCATGGCTCTTTAGAACTTGAGCACCCCTTATCTCATCGCGATCTCTGGAGTCATCGAAGAATACAGCCATCCCATCAGTAGTTAGTAGGTTGACCTCCATCTGCTGTATTCAGGATTAGGATACAGAGCAACACTTGCTTCTTCCTTCTCACTAGTCTGCTCTCCAAGGAACACTGATGGACATTCTTTATTTCCTAGGATAACTTCAAAGCTTTACAGATGGGATTTGAGACGTATTCATCCCAAACGGTGAGAAGTGATTCCCTTCCAGTGAAGGCATCACTGTATTTGAATGAGCTATATCTGATGTTCAATCTATACATATGCTATGTATGAAATCACCTAACAAATGTAAGACATTGACAATTACGATTTCGAACTCATCAAAGGCTATCGTATCATATTAGCCTTCTCTACTCGTTCTTCACAAGAACAATTCACCAAAAATATGGATAATCGCATAACAAAAATTATTTAACATCAAAGTGTTTTTGATAAATAACAACAATCCCACATATTCCCTTATTTCACCTGAAAGTCTGTTTTATTCCTGGGGATCAACATTATTGGAATGGGATATGTGTCGTACAGGAAAATGATAGCCCAACAACATAACTTCTTCAGGAAGAAATGAAACGCTGATAGTTCATGTGGACTGAGACACTTGCATGTCACCATGCTCGATGAATATGAGCGTTGGACGAGGCAGAGACTTCGACAATGAAAGCCACAATGGTTGACGACTATGAACATCAAAAGAGGTAGTAACATCATAAATGAAGGATCATATTTGTCATTTGAGGCCACCATGCTTGTTGAATATGAACGCTGGGAGTGATAGAAACATCGGAAATGAAATGCTGATAACTTCACTGAACGGAGACTCTAGACGCCACCCTGCTAGATGAATATAAACAAATGGAAATACTAATAACACATCTGGACGAAGACGCTTGAATGTCATCATAATCGATCAATATAAATAACGTAAAATGCAGAAACTTTAAAATGAAATGATACACTTGAATTGCATCATACTTGGATTGAATAGATAAAAACTTCAGAAAATAAGTGTTGATAACTCGTCTAGACCAAGAAACTTGAACACCACCACCATGATGAATATGAACATTAGAAAAGGCAGGAAACATTTTTGAGAAACGAAATCATAATGTCGCTACAGAAAAGATAATCCATATTTTACCATGGTATCAGCAAGGGAATGCTTGAACTTAATTATCTGATACAGAAATACAGCGTCAATAGAAATTGTCACGGTAAAATACAAAAAGAATTTTCTTCAATTTTGAATAACACATGCATTTAAAAACCTGAGCAAGTGATGCACCGTGGCTGGCGGCCTATTTTGTCGTCAACACTGAAGTGTTAATATGACAACTCCGCAAATAGATATTAATCATTCAAATGAGTAAAAATGTAACTGACAAGAAAATATAAGTGAATCCCTCAGTTTTTAAATGGGTGACACGAGAAGGAAATTAAAGAACACCGAGGATAAAAATTGTTCAGATTTACTTACGCATCAGAATGAGTGTGAATTAGAAGATGGTGTTGGAACCTCCTCTTCAGAGATTGTCTTGATAATGATATCACCTCCTAAATCCTTCTGTTCTTCTTGAATTTGCCTGGCGGAATTTTCGGCAGAGTTCTTGCACCACTTCATTTCAATCAGCAGCAAAGTAGGTACTCTCCCTAAACACGAAGGTATCTCTTCAAGATGCTTACACTTATGCAACACAAGTCGCTCAAGACGAGGAAAGTGATCGCTAGAAGCATTCCATTGACCCAAATTTAGACTGTCTAATTTCAAATATTTGAGTTTAAGAAACTCATCATCTCCCATGTCCCATATTTTTCCCTCAAAGGATCTAAATAATAATTTGAGAACCTCAAGATTGGGTAGTCTCGCAATTTCCGAAATTCCACTCCATGGAAGACAGAAGTTTTTGAGGGTCAATTTTCTAAGATGTGAAGGGAAGTTAAAATTGGGCGCTTTTCTCACGCTACCTTGGTAAACCACCTTGAGTGATTCAAGCCGACTTAGAGACTCCAGATCTGGAAACCGATTACAGTCACTAACTGGATCCCATGATTCCATAAATATGCATTTCAATTTCCGAAGACTAGGAAAAGCTCTTATCAGATTCTTTGTATCACCCCCATAAGACAAACATGGTGTACAAAGTGTTTCTACATTCTGTAATGGGAAGGTTGGCCTGCCTTTCGGCAAACTGAAAGCAGCACGGGGTTCTATATGTAGATGCCTCAAAGTTACCATTTCCCAAATGGTATCTGGTAATACAACTTCTCCTTTTACTCCTTTCACAAAAAGAACCTCAAGGTTCACAAGATTTGATATGGATGACGGGATAGAATTCATACCACCTCTAACTCCTAAGTACCTCAAATGAACTAAAAACTCTATTCCAGTAGGGAAAAAATCACCAAAACTGATGCAGCTCCATTCCAACACTTTGAGAAGTTTCAAGCTGTAGGAAATGGCTGAGAAATCCCAAGGATAGGTCCAATCTGCTGAATACCTGTCATCGGTAGCAAAATACAGTAGAGTGCGGACTTGTCTATTAGCAGGTTTCCATGCAATAAAATCATTCCGGCTACAATAAATGGATAGTCGAATTTGCTGAGGAACTGAATAAACAAAAGAATAATGATAGGAATGAACATCAAAATCCTCCAAATATGGAGCATAAAGCTCATCATACCCATTTACCAGCCGCAAAAAGTTCTCTTGTTTGGCTTTCACCGAGCACAAGTGATGTAATAAACCATGAACATGACATGTTTTCACCCCTCCTTTAGATCTTGTTTTATCAACTATTACGAGGCTTCGACCAATGAGATCCATCAGGTAATCTTCTGCTGTATCCTCTACACTCTTCCGCTTGCTTTTTTGAATGAACCCTTCAGCGATCCATAATTGTAACAACTTAGTTACTGAAATTTCTTTGCCAACTGCAAATGCTCCAAAATAAAGAAAGCATGGTTTTAGATGATGAGGCAGATGATTGTAACTCAATTCCAATATGTCCATGCAGTGCCTTGAGTCACTAACTATGAAAGAACCCAAACTTTTAGAAACTTTTCTCCACTGATCTTTCTTCTTGTCCATCTTTGCAAGTAGTCCAGCTATTATGACAACAGCGAGAGGTAGCCCATTACATTTTCTTACTATTGCCTTTCCGACTTCCACCAGTTCCACAGGGCAATTTTCTTGTTGAAATAGCTTTTCCTGAAATAATTTCCAACTTTCATCTTCAGATAACAAACTAAGAAGGTAACGAGAGCTATTAGGGTTAGCTTCCAAAGCTACATTGCGTATTTGGCTTGTGATCAATATTCTGCTTCCATTATCGTCATTAGGAAAACATTGTTGTAATTCATTCCAGGCATCAATGCTCCAAACGTCATCAATGACGATAAGATACTTCCTTCCCTTTAGACTTTTGTAGAGTGACTCAGCTAAATATTCGTCACTACTTTTGTAGAATGTATCAGTGAGATCGATGACATGACTTAGAATGTCAAGCAGCATCTCTCTCCTTTCATATGCTTGAGAAGCACAACACCATGCCCGTACATGGAAATAATAGGGAATAGATGGATCATTATATACTTTTTTGGCCAGAGTTGTTTTACCAAGACCGGCCATACCTACAATTGAGACAATGTCTAGCTGTTTCCGTCCTCCAATAAGCAGCTCAATAATTTTGTTGGCTTCAACCTTGAAACCAATCACTACTTCAGGGTGAGCCTGCGCAGACCGGGGAGGGATGGTCTTTCCAGCATTCGTCTCCATTGCGAGAGAGCTTTTGCATTTAATAATCCGTTTGATTTCCTTCTTTATAAGCTTAATCTCTTCTAGAAGATCGGAAATCCACAGCATATGATTCCATAAGGGACAATCTCTGACCACATATGAGTTGATTATATATTCTGCCTTGTGAGCCACATCTATAACATGCTTCATAAGATCTTTCAGGTGATGCTTCTCAATCTTCCTTACAATATGCTCGAGTGAAGATTTCAGAGAATTGAGCTCATCATGAACCAATTCAATTTGATGCTTTAAAATAACAATTGAATCTGCCTGACAAGTCAGTAACTCATCCAGATTCTTCAAGAGGGAATCAATGTAACCCACTCCATCGATCCCAAGGGAGTTCGATTGCAAATGATTTAGTCTTCCAGCATAACGATCTCTGACCTCTGACTTAATGAGATTAATCTTCTCTAGCAAAGCAGAAAGGTTCATTTTGTTGGCAGTGTCAACTTCCA